AGGAGACCCTCTCAAAACTGTCTGTATCCCTAACCGAGATGGAACTCTTTGATAACATCAAGTGTTGCTCCGAGACCGAAGCCACCCCAGGTGAAACAGTCAGGCAAATTCCCCTCCCTTGGCGTTCAGAAGAGTTCAACACCCTGGCCCGTCAACTGGACGAGATCAAGATCCACAAAACCCACAATACTAAAGGACTACACTTTGTCAATTCATTTAGTCTTGAACATAAGCGAGCTACCTCAACATCCTCGGTCGCAATATCTTTCCGCAATGTTCCACGCAATCTACCAAGAAACTGCTATGCAGAAGAATATCTAGCCACCTTGTCTGAGCTTGATGTCAAACTTCTAAATCCCAAGCCACCAATAGATTTTCAGAAGTTATTGTCCTTGACCAAAGTTTCGTGTAAGTAAATCATCTTCTTATTGCATCCTAATTTAACATGTTACTCATAAGAAGCTGTGCACACTCATAATCCTCATTTCCATGCGATGGTACACTCAGCCTGAAATTCAAAATCAAGTACGTCCCAAAGAATACGTCAACTACTCCATGTATGGATACAGAGAGACCATTGAATTCTTACATTGCCAATTCCCCTTTCCTACTTTTTACCTGATGTATATTCATTTCCAGACTGCCTTGCACATAGTATCGGTAGACATGAACCTCATTTGTCTGTCCAAGGCGATAGAGACGATCTACAGCTTGATTTTCCATGGCTGGATTCCAATTCGGTTCCTTGAACATCAAAATTCTTATCAGCATATTCAGTTACACAGAAGAAATGATTCCTCCTTACCATCATGTACACATTTTGTGCACACCTCAAATCAATTCCTACCCCCGCCGCTTGTATTGAGCCTAGAAGAATGTTGCAGTTGGGATCTGTTCGAAATCTAGCCAGGTTCTCATCTCGTTTTGCTATACCTAAGGTCCCTATAAGCCATGTGCAACCCATTTGTTTCTCTTTGAGTGCCTTTTCAATTCTTCATCATGCCATACCTCATCAGTCTTTATTTAGCCTCTTTGACAAAATCTCCAATGAAGAATATCACTCACATCTCAAGAAAAGCCACAAAGCTCGAGAATACTACTGCTTTGGGCCTTAAAATCCCCCTTCCACCCCGCAAGAATCGCCCCAGGTTATCCACAAGATGGACCCGTTTTGCGGAGTCTTGCCATCGCCAGTTCTTTTGGTGAGGAATTTCGTCACGTGCAAAAATCGGATGATTGCAGAACTGCCGTATCATTGTCAGCTGTTTGAAAAATTCAGTCGAATCCCATGGCTCGCCAGATGATCGAAGCCGTCCAAAGTACTGAATGAATGATTGGTGAAACCCTCTTGAGAAATCATCCCATGGGCCACCCAAGCTCACAACAACCACGTTTTCTATCTTGGAAGGCAAATTCAAGAGAACATCCTTTGTCCTCCTCAAGCACACAGTTTCCATTAAGCGGTTCAACGTCTGAATGGCTTCTTGGGATCCAACGTTAATTCCAGGTATAAGGTGTGACTTCCAGATCCACTCCTGGTTCCAAGGCCAAATCTTCAATAGAAGTATCAAGCTTTGGACATCGGTGAGTCGATTCTGGAACGGGGTTCCCGTCAGGCATAAGATAAATCTTGACTTCAGCTTTTGAATGTTCAAAGTCCTGTTGGCTGTTGGGTTACGAATCATACTACATGATTTGTAATGTCAGACTTGTTATTAACTGATAACTCAATACATGCACCAGGTTATTGTTACTTACTGAGCCTCATCCAATACAATTCTGAACCAACAGATATCCAGGGATTCAATGGTTATTTGATTGGTATGCAGTGGGTTTCCAGATGTTCCAACCATCTCGTAGGTTGTCAAAACAACAAGCGATGACAATAGCGATCCTCTGTCAATTCTTCCTTGGTCTCTTCCATGAAAGATACAGTAAGGTAAGGCTCCCCTGTCAAAGTGAATCTTGATCTCATTTTCCCAGTTTGACAAGGTTGCTAACGGACAAATAATCAGAGTGGCTGAAGATCGAACTAGATGGTTGTCGGAACCGCTCATCTGGAATCGGTTTGCCAAATGAGATGTTGCCAGAACTAACGCAAGGCTGGTTAACGTTTTTCCTAAGCCCATGTCATCAGCAAGTATGGATCCTCGGCTAGTAAATTGGTCTGTTTCGTCAAGTCGTAGTTCAGAAGGGTTACTACATCGTCGTATCCAACTATTGATGGGGTGGTTCCACAAGTCTTCAATTGTGTTTTGTTGGGTAGACTCGTTTCTCTTGAGGAAATTTAGAGCTGTGTATTGGTGGTCTTTCAAGGTGGTTACACAGTTTTTTAGAGTAGACCGAAAAGAATCATCCTCTTCTGGCGTGCTGGTGAGGGTTGGTGTAAACGATGTTTGGGGGATATTGAAAAAGAGGCTGGGATCGTAGTTCCAGATGGGAGAGAGATTGATTTGTGCCCGAGAGAAAGCTGATGAAATAGTGGCCTTGTTTGAGTCAAGACCAAATATGCAACCCCTCAGTTGAGGATCATTACAGGTTTTGGTAACAAGGAAAGCTCGAATCTTTATCAGGGATTTTTCAGAAGAGATCATTCCTTCTTCTGTTATTGGTGTTGAGCAGCTGCCCACCCAACCTAACAATGGACCAAGGAACTTGCTTTGAACTTGACTGAGATCTCCAACCAATCGTCTTGGGTAACACCACACATGCACTCGATCTGTTCCTCGTTGTAGGAAGGCCTGTTGTGGGTGATCAGGGAGGGAATCTGAGGTAGGAGAATGTAGACGTGTGACAAATTGACCCAGGCATAGTGTGTTTGACATGTTGGATAGAAAAATCAGTAGACCGATTTGAGGTTGTGAAGGATGTGGGGGTTGGAATAAGGATGGGATGGTTGTATTTGTTACCTTTCTCTTATCTAGAATTTGGAAAGTTTTTCGGAAACACCCTTTACAACAACTCACAAAACACAGCCTTTGGTGCTTATTTTAACTCACTCACATTTGCTGCAGGGCATTGCATGATATAGTCATGTAAGCTGGAAAGTTCGGTAAACAAACTCCAGCACCTGTTGGATTGGTTTGGCCAATCGGCCAACTGCTACATTTGGTCCACAGATCAATCCAATGGAATGAGTTCATCATTTGGCTTTCAATTATCATACTCTTTAGTATATAGACATTACCAAAAGGTTAGGAGGTCTGGTAGCCACTAACTATGAAGGTTGTGTGTACATGACAATCACATGATATAGGCATTGGCAAGGGCTGGTTTAACTCACAAGCTTTCTCAAAACTAGTGGGCTCTTGAAAAAAAAAATTCAGAGTATCTTACCGAGATAGTGCCTCACAACCAGGTGGGAAATCATATTGGTCAAGATACTGCAAGCTTGGTCAAAGCTTGGGATAAAGAACCGTTTGCTGTCAAGTTGAACTTGGTTTCAGCATAGGTCTGGGGTACATTCTACACATGTATTCCATGATATATCCAATAGAAGTTGTGGTACACATCAACATGTTTTGTAACCAGGTTGTGGTACATATCTGCGGTACATATCAACATGTGTTGTAACAAGCTTCCAACCAGATCTATGACCGAGTTCACTGATGGCACTTGAAAGCAGGTGCTGAGCAAACTCCCCTGGTGTTTGTGAAAAAAAAAACATGAAATATTGAAAATTTCAAAAATACAAGCTGAGCTCCAAATTAGCTTGAGAGGTGCATCACACAAGCAGACAAGTTGTCTGAAACACACATTCCAGGTGAACCCCATTAATGACTACAAAATTCCCTGGCATGTAGTTACACACTCTTTTGGATAGTTTCCTGGAGAAAATTTCCTTGTACATCTTGAGTGCTCTCAGCTATTTTATTTTTCTCTTTTTCTACATACACTGTTAGGCACGAACCTGACACAAGTCTCTGGCTGCGGCGGGCGCATCTGGCAGCGTAGCGCTGGCCAGGTGGTTCCCGAAGGGAACTCCCCGCAGGGGAGACTTGGGCCAGAGGTCGATGAACTCAGGTGCTGAGTTTGGATTGTTTTGGTGGAAGCGTCACAAGATTTGAAATCCTGACGCTCCCTCAAAAGTTTCTTGATGTTTGGTCTCAAGTTTCTAAAGACCTGCCTGATCTTATTGATCAGGCCAAATTTCAAAGTTTTAGAATCACAACAGGAATTAATAATGATTTTCTAAAATTAAGGTTTGAACTTTTTTTGAGCTCAAATGCGGGGTTTGCTCAACTTGGGCCCACCAAAAGAAGCCAAGTTGAGTGGAAAATTCAACCTTTTCAAAAACATTCTATAAATAATTAGCCAACATAACAAAAAAACTGAACACAGGAAAATGTGGACAAGAAGCAGGCTTTCCCTGACCTGGAAGGAAATTACATGGATGTGAATGGAGGAGTGCTGAGAGTGGAAAACCCACAAAAAAGTGAGTTTTCAGCCCAATTTTGGAAACTCAGCACGCGGGCCTCGTCACATTTGTCTTAGGCCTCCACTGGCGTGGACAGCTCCGCTGCTCGCTCCCGCTCCCGCTGTGGAGGCCTAGTTAGGCTCGTGTTAGGCGCAAAAAACAGGCCAAAAAGACACAATTGTGACACAAAAGCATGTTTGTTTTGGTCACAAGCCTCTCCCACACTTTGTGCAGTCAACAGAGAGGCTGAGCAAGCTAGTCTGTAAGCCAGCCTCTCTGGTGAGACTGACTGGGCTGCCACCCAGATTTGCCTGCAGGGCACTCACGCCACAAGAGGACTTGTTCAGCTCAGAAACGACCCAGGTCCCACCCACAACAATTCTGCATAACTCAAAAAAAAAAAAACGATGACAATGACAACTAAGAAAAGTCATATAGAAGAGAAAGCACAGAGGATAAAAAAAGATGGAAGAGGAATATGTATTATGGAAGTAGAGCAGGGGAGAGAGATAGACAAAGACAAGTAAAGAAAAATAAAAAGGAAGGGAATGATAGAGGGAAATTATTTTGATGTCTTTTGTTTGAGGGGGGGGGGGGTCTAACAATATATGTTGAGAGGGAACCTTGACAGGAAGAGATGAGAAGAAAAAAAAGCCTGATATAAAAACATTAAAGAACAGAGAGGGATAAAGAGAGAGAGAGAATCAAGATAACGACTCAGAAGGAGGAGGAGGGGGATTTCTACGGCTAGAAGCAAGAGCAGCCAGCCGTTGATTGAGTGGTATTCTAGGTGCCGGAGGAAGCAGTGGAGCAGGGGGAGGAGGAGGAGGAGGAGGAGCAGTAGGAATGAGTCCAGAAGGATCCGAGGTTGCGGAAGGGTTTTCATGGGAGTCGGTGGGGAAATCGGACGAAGAGTTGGCTTCGATCTTGGATTCTTCATGTACTGAAATCAAAGAGTTGTCGATCAAATTTACTTCTTCGGTTTCTATACCATCATCTCCTTCATCTTCATCTTCTCCTTTCGAATTAACAGGATCTAAAAGACCAGGATTAGCTTCAGCATTTCGAGCTTCTTTTTCTTTTTCTTTTAAAAGTTTGATTGTCTCATCGTTCTTGTCGATTGTCTCATTGTTTTTGTCGATTGTCTCATCGTTTTTTTCGATTGTCTCATCGTTTTTGTCGATTGTCTCATTGTTTTTTCCGATTGCCTCACTATCTTCTTCGATTGTCTCATTGTTTTTCTCGATGGTCTCGATGTTTTTGGCTTAAAAAAATGATGATGATAGGAGGGTAACAAGAGAAGGATCAGCAAAAGAATGTCCTGATTTTGATCAAAATTAGAAATGAAGAAGAGTAAACTTACAAGTCGGTTCAGAAGTTAAAGCTTCAGGAGTAGAAGACAGATCAGTTTGGGGAGCAGAAGTGACGATGGAAGGTTGGCTTCCACGACGACTGGAAGCCAAGGCAGCAAGACGTTGACTGAGGGAAGGTTTGGGCGGGCGAGGAGCAACTGCAGTTGGCGGTACAGGGACAGATGGATCATGGGGGGATGGCTCAGCACCAGCTGGGGCTTCGTCTTTAGCTTCCGGTGTCCGGGGTGCCGAAGATGGGTTGGTTTCAAGCACCGGCAGCTCCTGAGCACTCGGATCCGAAGGTACGGGCTGTTCCGATGCCTCTTTTGCCCCCTCCGACGTTTCCTGGGTTGTATCCTGATGAGTAATAGGGGAGCTGTCGAATGGCTTACTTCCGTCAATGTTGGTCTCAGCCTCGACGACAGAGCCCCCTGGAGACACTGTCCTCGCTGCTTCCCCGATTGTAGGTGATATGGCTGCGTTGGTCATCCCAGCCAGTAAGGAGGCTGATGAATCAGCCGTCTCGTTATTTTTGTCTTGAGGAAAGGAGGATAACAAGACACGGATCAGAAAAGTACTGGTTTGACTAGAAGTGAAAACTAAGAATGTACTTACGAGTATCTTCAGAAGCCAAAGGTTCAGGAGTGGTGGATAGCCCAGATTGTAGAGGAGAAGTCACAATGGAGGGCTGGCTACCACGACGACTGGAAGCCAAGGCAGCAAGACGTTGACTGAGGGAGAGTTTGAGCGGACGAGAAGCCGCCGAAGTCGACGGTGAGGGAACGGAGGCCTCATGAGATGATGGCTCAGCAACGGCTGGGACTTCGTCTTTGGGCTCCGGAGTCCGGGGTGCCGAAGATGGATTGGTTTGAAGTGCCGGCAGCTCCTGAGCACTTGGATCCGGCTCTCCCGATCCATCTTTAACCGCCTCCGACCTTTCCTGGGATGTATCCCGATGGGCTATAGCGGAGCCGTCCGAGGGCTTGCTTCCGTCAATGTCGATCTCAGCCTCGAGGACAGAACCCACCGGAGACACTATCCTCGTTGCTTCCCCAGATGTAGGCGATGTAGCTGCATTGGTAACCTCGGCCAGTAAGGAGGCCGACAAATCAACTGCTCTCCCACGAGGCGACAAGAACCTGAACTTCGCCCTAAAGTTTGAGCTCCGCTCGGCTAGAGGAGAAGGTGGTAATGGATACTGTGCCGCATCTGGACCCTTGAGATCATTACCATTGATGCTCGGTACTCCTGCTTTAGGGAAAAATCTAGTTTGAACTAATTCTTCGAGTGACTTCCCACTAGCTTGACAATCTTCAGATGCCTTCAACTCGACTAACTTGGTCGAAAAATATTGTGCATCTCGTAACAATCTTTCCTTTGCCTGAGTAGATTTCAGTTCGACTTTGCTGAATTCTTCATGAAGGGCCCCATGAATAGACATGAATACTTGTGATAAGATGTGCTACGAAGAGGAGGGGGAGGCGAAGAACGATAAAAGAAATCAGACGCGGGAATTGCAAGAGAAAAGAGAGATCGAAGGTGAGGATCTGACCTGTAGAGTAGATGCTGATAGATACCGACCAAGCACCCGATGAAGAGTACCAACTTCTTTCAGTAAGCTTTCCAAGTATGCATTGGGACCAAGAACTTGATCAGATGAAGTAGTTTCAATATTTTCCCAATCCATTGCTTCCAAAGTTTGTTTATGCACCCCAAGTCGGTCAGCCATGATGGATATCAACTTGGCATGAACCTCATTTTGATGCTCTTGGTAATCCCTCTTCAGTTTATCGAAGTCTACGAGCATCACGGCCTGTTTCATATTCAGATGACGTCGTAGACATTCTCGGATATATGGTATCAGACTGATCATCGTCGAGAGCGCCTGGGATGCAAGAGCTATAAAGAAAAATGTCGATGCAAATTGCGAAGTAAGAATACACCCCGAACAGTAGTTGACATAAACTTGACCTCTTCGCAAGTTGATAAAGAAGAGAAGACTTACCAAGATGTTTAGCAGTGATGTTCTTGAGACCAGCCGAACGAATAGCGCCGGCACCGAGCACAACTTGACAAGTTCTAGAATTAAACGCCTTCAAGAACTCGATAATCTTTCCCATTAAGTCTGTTGTCAAGAGTGAACAATTTACGACTACCTGCAAGTAATCTGCAAGAGTCTTCATAGTCTGTAGGCTGGCACTAACGGGATGATAGAAAGTACCTTCGATCTCAAGTAACTTAGTCGATGAATTAGGTTCAGCGATTTCATCTTCAGCGGGCAGGTTTGACAGATTTCGATTAATAACAAGTGATTTTGGGTCCTCCATAGCACTTCTGATGATCGAGTTGACAATCTGTTGAACTTGGTTGGGTACCTCAACCGGCGTCCATTGCTCCTGCTCGACAATCTTAGCACTTTCGGTGATCTTATTCTGATGGAAGCTCTGCAAGAAGGCTTTGGCTTGATTGACCATGACTCCTCTGAGGGCTATGATCATCCGTCGACTGATCACCTCGCACTGAACTACGAAACGCCAACTAGCATCAAATATCGCAAAGAAATCGGTAAAACTCAGTTGGGCGTGTACTTCCGTTCTGACGCCAATCACTTTTGCAAACCGGGCATTCGCCAACTCGGCCGAAGATTGAACAACTTCATTGAGCTTTAGACTGAATGCCTCCACATCGATCGCCGATACCGTGCTTGATTGATCGGCATCAGTAGCAATAGGCTCCAGACCTGAAGGATTGATTGCTGGGTTTGAGTCCGCAGGTGGATCTACCGGAAGATCTGAAGTTACTGGACTAGTTTGAGTTTTGAACTCTTCTGTTAGTTCGAGTAATGCTTGTGATTGAGTGTCAACCAGTTCGATGCACCCTAACAAATCACGATATGTTTTTTCAGCAATCTTCAAGAAATCTTCGTGTTTGAGAGCCTTAAGGTTCCGGGCCAAACTGATTCTAAAATTCTACCACAAGTTTTGAGGTGCGTTAGCAACTGAGGTTGAGCAGATCAAGCCTAACCAGATAGGCGGAGACCGAAACACGTACGTCTTGTCGGACAGTGCATTCCGTTTGTCTTTCGAGTTGAACTGTGAAATATCGGATGAATCGTCCTTATCATCCAGATCGCCTTCAATCACATCGGACAGAGCATTCTTGACAATTTCTCTGATCTGTTTGATCACGCTTTCTTTCCAAGCACCTAAAGCTTTGTCCATTCCACCTGCCCTTACTAGTCCATCGAACGTAGAGCGGACCCTTTCTTTTAGTCTCACTTGGGTCAGACTTTTCAAACGATCACGAGTTTGTGATCCGTTTGGATGTGAAGATGACAAAGGGCTAGACATAGGAGATTTGAGATCGAATGATTGAGGTTGGTCTAGTGAATGACTACTAGCGAATTCTGCAAGATTAATTTTGAGGTCATGCGAGAGAATCGAGCTCAATTCAGCCACCAAGGCCTTTGAGATGGTACTACGAAAGACCGACAGGCGTTTGGGGAGGGCTGCGAGGGCTTTGAGTTTGCTTAGCCGTAGCTTGATTGGGGGAGCGGGTGGGGGGACGGAAGACTGGTTGGAATCGGTCGATTGGTGAGAAGATGCTGAGGAAAGTACGGTGGATGAATGCCAAAGTTGTTCTAAATCTTGGATTAGACCGAGCGCTGATTGCCATTCACCACTCTGAATCAGTTCCTCTATTCCATGTACGGTTTGCCAGACATCGTTGAGTTTGGTTAGGGCAAGTTCAATACTGGTGATATTCCTACGCCGAATACCATATCTGATGATTTTCAATGCTTTATCGGACACGGTCTGTTTGAGTTGATCGAGTTGATTTTTGAGTGCCTCGATCTGGGCGACGGAGGATGAAGTCTGGGCGTGCAGTGCTTGGAGGTTACCGAGAGCGGAGAAAAAGTCGGAACTACGCAGACTGATTTCTTGGACTAGATGAAGTTCAACAAGATCAAGATAGTGAGACAATTTGTCGAGCAGGATGTGGTCGGTAGTCAAATCAGTGTTAGAGGAGGTTGATGAGGTACTAGGTTTGGGATGAGTCGAGTCAAGAAGGTCTGATTTGGTGGGACTGGTGATTGGGCTTGATTGAGATGGTTGCTGGGTTAACAGATCGAACGTAAGAGGATCGTTGAGAGAGAACTTCTGATCGAAGAATACATGTGGAACTGAAGAGAGTGAAGGGAGAGAAGGGCTTGGATGAAGTGCTTGGGCAGATGAATGATCGGATTGATTGGTTGGGTTGACGAGAAGATCGGTAGAATGATTTGGGTGAAGAGACTTGATAGCTTTCGAGTTAGTGGCGAGGTTTTGTTGCCAGCGATCGTAGTGAACCTGAACCTGTTCGAGGTATGAATCAAAGTCGGAGAGTGGGATAGTTGGGGATCGAGAGAGTTTGATTGGTGAGGGGGCTGATCGTTTATTGGATGGGGCAAGTACGGAGTGTTGTTTACCATAGGGAAGTTTGACGAATGAAGATAGTGGGGGTGGCTTGAGATTGATGGGAATTGATGAACGAATCGCATTGAAAGCAGCCACGGTGATATTTTGAGACGAGACCTGGTTCATGACGGTAGAGATGGCTGTTGAGGAACAGAGAGAGAGTATTATGAGTATCTTGTATGGCAATGGTTCCTTTAGTTGAATGAAATTTAGAGATGCTTACGATAGTTTGGATGGTAGTGTGTGTTTTGGTCGAAAATGAATGGCTTTCCCTCGTCATTCCCGTTTTCGTTCTCGTTCTCGTTCTCGTTCTCATCCTCCATCTCGTTGCCAATCTCATTCTGGTTATTCCTGATTATCGATGGTCTTGTTGACATTGTTGTTTGGTTCTTGACTGATTCGAAGTGGTCAACAGCTGGCTTGGATCGATCGATCCTCAAGAGTGACGTCAGAAGGATCTTTGATAGGGTGACACCCCAGTGACACCCCTGACACCCCCCCCCCCCCTTCCACTTCAAGCCTTGCATTCTGAAACCACTGACCAGGGGACAAGTTCCGCATCTAACTTTTTCTCATTCCCATTTGTAAAAACTTACGCTAACCTCAATAAGTCATGCAGATGCAACTAGAGTTTATCCAATTGAAAGACAGTTTTTGTTTTGATTATTTTTCAAGCAAAAAAAAGATTGATGAAAATTAAATGAAATCAAAATATCAACATGTAAATAGGAAGGTAGATGAAATTCATGAGAAAAAATGCTAGAAAAAAATCAATCCCAAAACAGTGCATATTTTCAAGTAGTTCTGCTTGTCTCACTGGAACAAATGGCCAATGATCTACATATAAATAAAAGAATAGGCTCAGAGAGCCAAACAAAGTGTCATGCAATCTAACAACGCACCGACGTTAGACTGAGACAGGTACCCAACTCAAGCAACACCTCCCAAAGGGGAAAAAGGTCATCAAAATTTAAGCAACACCCTCAAACAGGGCAAAAGGTCATCAAAAGATCACCAAGTCAAACTCCCCAAAATTGGGAGCAAATACTAGTTCTGAATAAGAGATAAAATATGAAGATGATTGAACTTGAATAAAAAATTGAACCTATGTAACTTCTAATGATTGAACTTGAATAAAAAATTGAACCTATGTAACTTCTAGGTTTGGAATTGAATTTAAATCATAATAGCTGTTATTGGGGATAGTGATTATTTCAGCCAACTTATTATGGATTAAATGAATAAATATTCAAGCTTCTTATATCTAAAAATAATTCTAGCATTCCCTGACCCAGTAATCAATTTTCAAAGTGGGGGATTTCTTGTAAAGGTATTCTTCTGCACTTTCTGAAAGGAGCTTTCTTGAATAAACTAATTGCTTATTCCATGGGAATAGAGATAATGATTTGAAGCTTGGAAGGATTGAATTTCTATAAGTTTCAAATTTCTTACCAAATCCTTCTTCTCTTAAGTTTATCAAATATCCAAATAGTTCATTATCATCTCTGAACAGGAAGTGCCACTTGAAATAGTTCTTTTGCTTGTAATATATCCCAAAAAGATGAACTGCAATCTTGGTCATCACCAACTCTTCCAATGATACATTTGAGGTGCCAGCTAATACTTGATGTGAGTTTTGAACAGTAAATATTGGTTTTTCTGCATCTTGTGAAAGGAAATAAATTCCAATTAACCTGTTGATTTCATTAACTTTGGGATTTGATTTGACTTTTTGATTGTTTTGATCACTTTTGGTTTTCATCTGAAAATTCAATAGATAGTGGAAAAACTCTTCAAATGCTTTTTTCTGTTTCAGTAATGCTTGCTCAGAAAATGCACCACCAAAACCTTCAATGATTGAAAATTGGATCACACACATCTGGTTGAATAATTTATTTAGCTTTCTTTGAAATAAAGGTTTATGAGTGAGTACATATTGATCCAATCTACCTTTTGATGGTGACGTTTGTGCCAAAAATTGAAGAAATTTTATCATCATGTTCACGTCTTCATAACTTGCTGAACCATCAAATATGGGGATGGTATGGGGTCTTATTTTTGATAGGAATGCCCATTCCTTCTGATTTTTGTCTTCTAAATAAAACATTTCATCTTTTCCAAATGGAACACGTTCATATTTTGTTGCCAAATAATATTTGAGCACATGAGGTTTGAAGGTAAAATTTCCCTTTCTAGGGACATGATTCTTGTATTTCAAATCTTCTTCCTCAGCACTGCTGGACCTCTCTCAGGGGATTAAGTCATGGTGAATTTGTTGATATGGCCTTCTTTCCCACTTGTCACCAAACTTTGTCAGTGTGATTGCAAAATGTTTGTCTTTTGAGAAAAGATGTCTCCACTTTTCAAGATCAATTTTCTTGTGGTAAAATACCATGAAATGAACTGCGGCTTCCGTCATCAATGATTCTCTTTCTAAAACTAAGATTGGCCTTTTGGTTACATCTTTCCGGGATGCCTCATAGAAAAATCTGTCGTCCTTGAATTGAAGAGCACTCAGAATTTTTTGATATATCAACCTACCCTGATCCCCGAAGCTTTGGATATCTTTCCGACACGCGGACATGAATTCAGTAAACCATTGCATCATCTGTTTTTGTGCTTCAAGGTAAAGTTGGGTTGAAGAAGGTCCAGCCCCCATTGTTTCCAAAGCTCTGCAATTCAAAGCCCAAATTGTCGACATGAATTCTTTTGCTTGCCTTTTCAATGAAAAATTTCCCATCGGATCTTCTTGCAGCATTGAAATAACAACTTCACGACTTGTATTTGGGGGCACGCATGCAAATACCAAAGACGATACTAATGGATCAACGTGCTTTTTTATATCATCTGCTATTGATTCGCGCAGTCTCTCTGCGATGATCGGAATCCAGCCCCACATGTAGGGATCTATGTCTCCCAACTGCAACGCTTCATCATTATTTATTTTTCTTTGCGGATTAATGGGATTGGATGAACTGGCCAAACCAGCCTGTTGAGAAGGAGGCATTTTCTTGTTGAAGCCTTTAGTCGACAAAGGTTTTGAAACGATTTTGGGATCAGTGGAGAGGAATCTGTTGCTTTTACTGGAATTTTCTGATGCCTTTTGGAGACCCCTGAAAACACCTTGTTGAGAGGGTCTGATGTTTTTGTTGGAAACAATTAACATACGTTCCGGACCATTAAATGTGCTTGAGATAGGTTTGGAAACACCATGAGGCTTCGGTAAATCAAATTCATTGCTTCCACTACCTTCCTCCAGCTCAAACCTAATGCCTTTCTTGACGCTTGGGCCTGGGGGATGAACATTTTCCACTGTATTTTTGTTGCAAAGTTGTTCGGAGTTACCCATAGCAGAAAGTGTTAGATAATTTTTACCTGGGACATGGAGTACCAATTCATCATGATACTGAACATTTTTTTTAATCAAATTGAGGATTGCTTACCGGGTTTTTCGCCTGTTGAAAAGTGCGAAATAACAGGCGAGAATTCTCGGTCCGGGGAATATGGCCTTAAAGAAAGATCCAACTTCATTTTTTTCAAATTTGGTTGATACAGTTCACTTGCTTCTCTGGGGTCATGGGCCACAGAGTCAATCGGTATCGCATGCCTAATCCCGTTATCATCTGTCGGGATGGGATTACCTGAAAAGTGTGATGTCTCAGTCCACGATAACTAGCTTTGTTAACTTCAAGGAATAAAAGACTAGACTGACTAAGCATATCTAGCGCTATTTGATCTTCTTGACTTTGCCCTTTCAAATTTGTAAGAATGTCAGATGTTGAACTTTTTGTAAGAAAAACTGGTCTATTTACATTTGTTTTGACCTGTTGGGGATGCTGTCAGTGTTGAACTGTGCGGAGATCCGCCCAGTTCCGGTAAGCCTAACGAAAGCTTCACGTTCAATTGGGATTCCCTTGAATCTTGTATATGGGCTCTACCTTCTGTTTTGAAGCCGTGTTGGTCAGTAACAGATGAAAGTGATTTCCTTTTGGCAGTATGACCTGGAAAGTTGGATACATGATACAGACATCAGTTAGATTTAATCTGTCATATTCCAAGCCGTCTATCACAAGATTCAAAATGATTATGTATACTGACCAAGAAGATTCAAAGTTCCAGGAAACCCCCTTGATATCTCCATTGGGTCCATTGGGTATGGAATGCTACTTTGTTCTGATGGGCCGTTTCTAAAGGGGTGATTCTGGTGCACATGAGGCATATGACTAAATCCATTTCCCTTGCTTAAATCCTGAACTGGCTCTTCTTTGACTGGAATTAATGGCGGGGGTGCCAAAAGGAAGTGGAAATAAGGCCAGATTATGAGTGCAGATCTTGTGAAAAAATTCATCATTGATATGCAGAGGGTAAAGTTTGGGTTGAAATGTTTAGGAGTGAAAAAGTGGTATTCAACCTGATGCTTTTATGTTGCAAATTTGCCATAAAACCTGCAAATATTAACTTCAGAGTCATGTATAAATATGGATATGATACTTTCATCAACCTACTGGATGTAACAGGAGACTTTGATGGAAAAGTTTAAGTGAGGATGGAGGTACATGAATCAAACATGTTGTGGGCTTTATGTCAAAGGTGATTGTATGCTTATTTTAAGGTAAAATCATTTGATACAGCCAGTTTTGAATACATCCATGTTGGAAAAGGCAAATTCTTACATGTGCCCTGAAGAAACGTACATATCAGTATTGATAGGTATTGATCCAGGATCAGATTTCTCGCAAGGTTTGACTTCACCAGTGTTTGACTGACATCTGTGGGACAAAAATGGATAATGGAATTTGGTCGCCGGTTCTAAAAAATTGTTTTTTGGCATGCATTGAATTGTCAGCCTCTGGTTGAGGGCTATGCTTCTGAATTCTTGATAACTCCCAGTCAATCATGTAAAGGGTAGAAGCACAATGGCGGGGGGGGGTCACAATAGGGGGTATCAAATATGAAGAATCTGAAAACTTAAACCCCCATTTTCTTCTAAACGACTGAATTGTTTTTCATGAAGGTATTATGGGAAGTAGCAGTTTCATATGATGTATCTTTATTATTACACTTCATCTGGAAAAATACATCAGTTCAAGAGAAAATCATGTTTTAAGTTTTGAGAATTTCTATATTTGATACCCCCTAATATGACACTTTCAAGTCTTTTTTGAGGAGTTTATGATCAAATGATTATAAATTTGATCACTGAATCTGAAAAAATAAAAAATAAAATGTTGCTCATAGACACCTTAAGAATGGCTCTGAATTTCAATCGTGAACCCCCCTAATGAATGAATGGATAGCTGTTTTCCATTGAGGCTCACAATAAAAATTGGTTCAGCTGTGCTCTTACCCTTCTTGACCATGATCCACCTGCTTGCCAACAAAATCCAAAAGGATTTGATGACTTTCAGTCACTTGGAGCAGGCACTCAATACAAGGTTGGCACAGCAGCGCTCATAACCCAACCCAGAAACAGCTAAAACAAGCCATTAAGCCCAGTCCAATACCAAACATCCGACCATTTGGCTCTCTCTATTGCACTAAATGAAGTAGAGACCTAGATACAGCTATTCTGGAGCTTACTGCAACGGGTGCACTTCTTTGAGATAATTAGCAACCAGACACATGTAGTCAAGGGACAGAATGGGTTGGGAGTGGGCCACCAAAACAGAATTTTACAAGGAATCTACAACAAAGATCCCCCAAATTCATTCACCCTCACATTTCCTCATCATATTTTATGCACTGTGGGGTAATTGTTGATCCAAGTGTTTTTCAGTGACACCTCTGGTCATCACCAAGGGTGAGTTGGTCTGTAGAGCCCAGTTCTTGAGATGTTTGGTTTGAATTTGGAGTGTATGTGTGTGTGGATGGCAACATGGAGGATGTGAATAGAAGAAAAAACTTCAATTCTTCACATTTCTGACTACTATACAATGGGTATTCAACTTGAGTCAAATTGCAGGGTAGTACCCAAGCCAGATTCAGGTGCCCAGGTGGGAAGTGTCAACTCTAGTATTCTAGGATAAAAACCAGGTTTTCCCAGTGCAAACTCGATAAAGATGTCGCTTCATACCCGGGTACCTGCCTCAAAAATCCAATATTTTGGACACCTGCACCTGCCAGGTCTGCCAGGGCGGTTACCCAGGTAGCTGGGACGGGTACCTGCGGGTGTGGAGGTTTTTTTGCAGGCAAATATACCCAGAAATCTCACCCTTGAATTCTTGCATGGCTTACTAAATATATGATTGAATTTCACTAGATATATGAGTAAGAGTAATGTAGAAATGAAGAAGAAAAAAAACCATTCTATCACCAATTTGCAATTTATCTTCTCTCTTATCTATCTTCTCTCTTATCTATCTTTAGCTTTACCCTTTTGCTTGGCCTCATTTGCCTTATTCAATTTCCATGGATGAAGACTGTACACCATCTCAAAGGCAGAAGGGTTCCCTCCAGCCTCAACAAAGCAACCAGATTATTTCAGCAACCAATTTAGGACACCAGCCGGTGTCCTTATCCTACATGGGTTGCTGACACCTGCACCACCAATGATAATTTAAATTCTTCAGGGGAAGCATTCCCAGGGTGGGTGTAAGGCGGGTACCAGGGTACCTGCGTTTTTTACCCCAAATGTTGACACCCACACCTGTTTCCAGGTACCCACTTTGGAAAACAGGTGCCTGCAAAAGGGTACCAGGTACCTGCTGAAATCTCTAAAGCTTGATGAAAATTAGTGTACCATCCCCAAAATCTAAATAAAAAACTGCTAGCCATTAGCAAATAAGTCTCAAAAAAATGACTCCCAAAATTTGGGAGAACAACTGTCAAAATTTGGGATAGTCCCCAGGAACATCAAGAGATGGTCCCATTAGTTATCTTCCCAATTACCCAAAGGAGGATTGGTATTTATTTGTATTTTTTTGGGAGTTGGCGGACTAAAACAGCCAGTTGTTGCCAAAACAGCAAACTCCTGCCAAGCAAGTCAACGGCCTACATGGCAAGAGGTATTTCCTCTTTCTAAGACGTTCAATGGCCTACTCAACAAGAGGCAAGAACTCTCAATGAGAAGGCTTCTGGCTGCTCAAGTAGGTCAATGCAATGGCCCACTTGACAAGAGGAAAACAACCTCTTTCCAGTAAGTCAATGGGGCTACTTGGCAAGAGGAAAGACCCTCTTGCTGAGTAGAATGTTGACCTTCTTGGGAAGAGTTCTTTGTTCTGGCCAATACTCCCAAGTTGGTGAGCTGTTTCATTCCCCCAACTCCAAAAGTCAAATGATAAAAAAAATCCCAATCCCCCTTGGGGGAATTGGGAAGAAAAATCCCAGGGGGGTCCCAGGATTGTCAAGAGATGGTCCTGGGAATATCCCCCAAAGGTTGGGAATTTTTCTCTCAACTTTTGGGAGTTGTTTTTTTGAATCCCAGACCCAAGCAAATTTAAACTACACTAGGCTACACTAACAGTAGTATCCAAGATTGATTCCCACAAATAATTTAAGTAGAGATGGCAATGGGTACCCGTTTGCGGGTACCCGGTACCCGTTTGCAGGTACGTGTTCTTCGGAGCGGGTACCCGCCCGCGGGTGCTGGGTGCGGGTGCGGGTGTTGATTTTTGGGACAAAAAACGGCAGGTACCCGGGTACCCGCCTTGACACCCGCCCTGGGAATACAGTTTTGGGCTTTTTGGGCTGCACAAAGGTGTCAGCAAACTATGTAGGACACCATTTGGTGTCCTACATGGGCCTGTTGAGGCCAGAGGGAACCCTCCAGCCTTCAAGATGATAGATCAGAGAGAAGATAAAGTGCAAATTAGTGATAGGATATTTTGTTCTTCTTTATTTCTTTATTTTTATGTTCTTACTCATATATCTAGTGAACATCAATCATACATTTGGTAAGTCATGCAGAAATTCAAGGGTGAGATTTCTGGGTATATTTGCCTGCAAAAATGTGCCAGGTACCCGCAGGTACCCGGTGCAGGTACCCGGGTACCCGCCCCTGGCGGCCCTAGCAGGTGCTGGTGCGGGTGCGGGTGTCAAAAATATTGGATTTTTGAGGCAGGTACCCGCACCCGCTACAGGTACCCGGGTATCGAGCGCCATCTCTAAATTTAAGGGTGGATTCTTTGGGACAATAAAATTTTTATTGGCTCAATCCAATCATTTTCTCAAACTGCTTCTTGAACCAGGAAAATCTCTACACATGGAAATGGACATTTGTCAAACTTCATGAAACCAACTGTTGGTACACGAACAATGTTCACAAAAGCAGTTTACCTAAAATATTTGTCTTGATGGCATCATGGCCATTTCCAGCTGGAGATTTTTAAAAATTATTTGTTTTTTTATCTCAACTACCAGTTCATAACTAACACTAGGCCAGATATGCTAATGGCAGAATTTAAGCATTCAAATTAATTGGCTAAATTTTCAGTTTAACTAAACCTGGGTTTAGACTGCCAGGTTAACGTCTGATAAATTTGGTGGATGTAAAATTGACTTTCATTTTTTGTTGAAGCTTAAACCAAGGCTATCCTGAGACCAATATCAATGTGATTTTTGGTTGGTTCATGTGGCAATCATCTGAAAATTCAACCCAATGAATTTGAATGTTTTGAGTGTTTGACAGTGTAGAAGAATTCAAATGGAATTGTGTGTAGCACAGCAGAATTTGGCCAGATCTGCACTAAATCTATATGCACAGGGCCTCAAAGTATGCCTGCTATGATGTGCATTTCTACTTAGGGGCATTTTGGCACTGTAGTACAGTGTAGTGTAAAACTGCTAAGAGGTTCACTGACACTACTACAGACCGCTCTTGTCATAACCAAAAATAACTGGGGATATTTTCCAAACAACAGATCATAACCATACTTCAAGGGGGATTTCCATATCTCTTGTTTGTTTCTTGAATAATGCCTTGTTTGGCAGCAGTATATGGAACTTATTTCCTGACATCCTATGTGATATCTGATCATGTCTGCAAAACATTGATCAGCTGTCACAAGAATTGACATTATAGTGCTCAATTGTATTGGTGCCAAACAAGTCCTAAATATCCACTAAGTAATATTTCTTTCAATAACTGGCTAATTAATTACAATTCAAAGGGATTTCACTTGAATCATACCTCTCTGTACCAAGTTCTATCAA